TGACAATGCACGTAAACAAGCAGAATCAACCAAAGCACAGTAGAGTTTAATTTGAGTCAACAAAGTTACACAAACATATACTAGATAAACTTTTATGAAAATAACAGACACAATTTTCACTGTTTCAGAGAAATAAACTACTTTCTGGTTTTCCTTAAATCCAAGATGGAGGCCAAACCATGTGACCAGTCATAAAAAGATTTGCTAATTCAAATGGGCGTGGTACATACATGTTATTTGTGTACAAGCAAAATTTCAGATCAATGTAGTTCTGAGGTGGTTCTGAGGGAAATAACTTTCAAGCGTTTTATGCCAGTTTTGGTAAAATTATTTATGGTGCAAAAAGTTGCCTGATGTACATGGTTTTTATTAGTGATATTGAATGATGGCTGAAAACCCTTTGAAAGAAATAAGAAATATAGCACTTTCAAGTTTTCTTAACTTCATTGACATTGTTTTGTACATAGATAGTATTACTCCAAACTTCAGATAAATTTTGAAAAATTAAAAGTTGTATTTGGTTATTCTAATATGATGGCCAAACCATGTTACCAATTTGAATATTATTTTTTTGTGACAAAATGCATTATCAAAAATTTCAGATAAAAATTATCCTTTTTGGGAAAATTAATAATAGAACAGAAAGTCATGTGAGGAGCTATATTGGTTTAATTAATGCAATTGGTAACTCATGTCAGTGGTGTTACAACACTGATACCCCAAGTGTGCGAGATAGAGTCCTTGCAATTTTTCCTTAATCCAAGATGGCTGCCAAACCACATGACCCACACTATGCAGTCAATGTAAAAATTACGAATTCTGTTGATGATGCATGCTTGGAAAGTAGATTAATTTTAAATGTGTTATGCCATTTTTCGAAAAAGTCATGTTACGTGATGTGATATACGAGAAGTTTTTATTTGCAATATAACTGGTACAAAATATAGTACATTAGAGGCAATGAGGCTAGACTGTAGAGACCTCTCAAAGAATGTGAAATTGAACAGTTTTTCTTAAATCCAATATGGCTGCCAAACCATGTGACCAATCAAAATTTTGATAGACATGCACTAGATCTTTAGCCCCAACTTGCATGCAAAGTTGCAGAAGATATTCCATTCAGTGTTATCTCAAAAAAGCTCACAAATAAAATGGCACAAGAGGAGGAAAAGGGAAATCAGAATGATAACAATCAGGCTTAGATCCCTGATGACATCATCTTTTAATTTATTGATAGCTCTCATCTTTTATTAGTCCCTGTTCGGACAAAGTCCGAAAACTGGGACTTATAATTCGGCCTCCGTCCCTCCGTGCGTTCGTACGGAGTCATATCTCAGAATCCCTTGGACCGATTCCGTTCATTCTTTGCATGTGTCTAGTACTTTATGTGGGACATATGCACATGCAGTGGTTTAGCGATTCAATTCAAAATGGCCGACTGGCAGCCATCTTGTTTTTAGAAAATGTTGTATTTTGGACATGCTTTGTCAGTTTTCATTCAAACTTGGTACATAGATTATACATGTTAGGATACATGTCCATGACAATTTATTTCACAATTGGATCAAAGATGGCCGACTGGCAGCCATCTTGTTTTTTGAAAATGTTGTATTTTGGACATGCTTTGTCATTTTTCATTCAAATTTAGTACATAGATCATACATGTTAGGATACATGTCCCCGACCGTCCACGAGTTCCTGAGTCTGTCCGTCCGTCCGTGTGTCCGTCCGTCTGTGTGTGTGTCAGTCTGTCCAGAATCATATTTCAGAATCCTGTGGACCGATTCCGTTCATTCTTTGCATGTGCCTAGTACATTATGTGGGACATACATGTATGCACATGCAGTGGTTCAGTGATTCGATTCAAAATGGCCGACTGGCAGCCATCTTGTTTTTTGAAAATGTTGTATTTTGGACATGCTTTGTCATTTGTCATTCAAACTTGGTACATAGATTATACATGTTAGGATAGATGTCAATATGACGATTTATTTCGCAATTGAATCAAAGATGGTCGACTGGCAGGCATCTTGGTTTTTATGCGGTGTCTTGGACGTGCTCTGTCAGTTTTAATTCAAATTAGGCACATACATGTACTTTATACATGTTAGGATGCATGACCATGACAATTTGTTTCAAAATCTGGTCAAGAATGGCCGATTGACAGCCATCTGACTTTTTGGCCTCGTATTTGGCACATACATCATACATATCAGTGTGTTTCATAATCAGATCAAAGATGGCCGAATAATGGCTGTTTTTATTTTTGGCCATATTACTCCTACACGGGACACGTGTTTTGATGTAAATAAACAATCTGTTGTATACGCCACTTGGAACTCAAGCTTCAAGGACACGCTCGCGACAACCCCTCCGCTTTAATATGACGAGCACAAAGAAAACTTTCAATAATTTAACGGGAACTGTGTCATTTTCAATGACTTGTTCTAGCATGTTTTTAATAGAATTAAATTCTTTGGTGGTGTTGGATATTTTGTATGTATGCTTGAAATGATGAAC